GATGTTGTTTTTTTCTGTAATAAATATAAATGTCCTTGATCTGCTGAAGGCTGGAGGCTAGTACGCCACTGTTTTATATTCACCCACTCATCTTGCCAGTTAAGTTATCCTATTCCTGCTTAAGCTAGTTCTTATTAATGTAAGTTCTTAATTTAAATATTATATAAACCAATAAAATATGAATGTGAAAATAGTAGTTGTTTCTAGAAAACTAGTGGAATACCTCATAAAGATTGAGTTTGGATAAATCACTATAAAAATTTACTGTCAGATTAAGTGTGAGCAAGACAACTGTAAAACATTTTGGATATAAATCCTAGAAACTTGAATACTTCACAAGTTTATTTACATTTGCATTCCACTAAGCAAGCAGTCTGGTAGTGATTTATACAAGAAAACCCAATGAACTCCAACCAGTGTAACTAAACTTAAGGAAAAGGCCTTGGCTCTGCATCAAAAGACTGATAAATGAAAGTATAGTCATGTGTATTAAAGTAAAACAAAATGCATATATTTTTTATTTTTTAAATTACTCCTCATTCTGACTTTTTTGATTTACAAATCTAGTTAGGTAAGAGAGAATTTTGTAAAGACAGAATTGGAATAGAGAAAACAAGCGTTTTTCAAACATCCATAGAACTACTATAAAAATTGGGAAAAGAAACCCTTGGGCAAACACCATGCAGGCATTACGCGTGCAGAAAAGCAGGAAGGAACTCACAGGAAGAAGTGTCAACCAAGGAGGACGGATATGGTTCCAGATTCCCTCATGAACTCCTAGAGAGCTGTGCTTGGGCCTGGGCTAAGCCCTGCTGGTTCACTGCCAGGCAACCTAGAAAAATCCTGTGATCATCCAGCTAGTGATGTGGTTTGTCTCTTTACAAGTTTTTATCACACAGGTCACATTCCCTGTCTACAAGCCTGTAAAATTAGAAGTCCTAATCAAAGAATGAAGAAAAAGTCACTAGAAACAAAAATAATCTAAATAACTCAAGAGAGAAAAATCAAACCTAAAAGTGTAGACCATTTAAAATGAAGAATGGTGACTGTACTATATATCAATACCATGGATTAACTTCCAGTTAGTCAAGATGGAGTATCAAGATTAGAGTTACCCTCCTGCCTGAAACAACCAAAACAGACGTAATATGAAACAAGAGAATGGACATCAGGTATAAAAGGCAGTGATTTTGTCAACTATACCAAATAAAGCTGAAAAAAAGAAAAAAAAAAGATCTAAGTTAAACTTCTAAAGAGAAAAGCTACAATGTCTAAGATAAAGATGATATTGGAATTAATTGTTGATTAGACACTGCAGAAAAGAAGATTAATAGACTTGAAGACACAGCAATAAAACTATCCAAAATTAAAAGGAGAAAAAATAATTTTAAAAATAAATAGCACATCAATGAGTTATGGGACAAAAATCAAACAACCTAATATAATTGTAATTGAAGTTTTCAAAGAAGAAAGTTGCAAAAAAAAAAAAGTTTTATAATGGACAAAATTTCCCAAATTCGATGAAAATGATAAACCCACAGATCCATGCAGTTTAATGAACCAGTAAAAGAAACAAGAAAACTAGATGAATTCGCATCATAATCAAATTGCTCAAAACCAGCCAGAGAAAAATAGCACATTGTGTACATGACAGCAGATTTCTTATAGGAAAAAATGTGACGACAGTGGAACCACATTTTTATAGTACTGAAAGAAAAAAATCTGTCAACTTAGAATTCTATACCCAGCAAAAAACATATTTCAAAAATGAAGGTGAAAAACTTTTTCAGACATACAAAAGCTAAAATAATTCATAGTGCAAGCCTGCACTATGTCTGCACTATAAAAATTATCAAAAGAAAGTCTTAAAACAGAATACCAGATAAATGGATACATACAATGGAATGAAGAGCTACAGAAATGGTAACTATTAGAAAAACGTTAGGATTTATTTAAATCTTTCATTAAAAGAATCTATTTGTTTTTTTTGTTTTTGTTTTTGTTTTAAATATGGAACACTTCACGAATTTGCGTGTCATCCTTGCCCAGGGGCCATGCTAATCTTCTCTGTATCATTCCAATTTTAGTATGTTGAAACAAGCACAGAATCTATTTGTTTTAACAACAAAAAACAATGAACTGTCAGGCTTATACATATATAAATGTAAAATTTATGAACAGCACAGCCTCCAGCAAATCAGGGTGTGGGAGGAAAGGTAAGATATATCAGGAACTAAATCTGTAACTTTAGATAAGCATTTTACAGGAACTATAAATACTACATACAATTCTAACAGTTAATTTGGAAAGGCAGAGGAAATGCTGATTTTTTAGGAAGATAAATTATTCAATTTGACTCCTGAGAAAGTAGAAAACCCGAGTATATCAATAACCATAAAGGAAACTAAGATGGGAATCAGAGTTACTTCTAAGACTCCTATAGTTTTATAAATGAGTTCAACAAGTCTTAAAGAAACAGATAATTCCTATATTATTCAATTTTTTCCCAGGGTATTAAAAAAAGATAATCAACTCATTCTACAAAACTAGTACCAGTAATTCCAAAACCAAACTAAGATAAACTTAAAAGAAAACCTCATGAATAAAGATCCAAAACATCTTAAAAATTTTAAAAACAGAATTCTAGAGTGTATTAAAGGCACAATATATTGTGATAGTTTTAATAATAGAATGCAATAATGGCTCAGGGTTAGAAAATCTATTAAAAAAACTTTTCTATGTTGAAGCCTCCTTTTTTAATTCAATTATTTGACAAATGTTCATTCAGTCATCAAATATTTATCAAGTATTATTTATATATATGCCAGGCACTGGATACTGAATCCAGTGGTGAATAGATATGGTCTCTGCCTTCATGGAGCTGTCGAGAGATACAAATAAAAATAATATTAAAATACAGTATAAAAGCTATGACAAGAGAAATACAGGGCACTATAAGAATACATAAATTCCTAAACATTAGGGTGCTGTTGTCATAATCCTGTTGAGATGATTGCCCACTCTAGGATGGTGACAGTTGATATAAGGAACATGGGCCTGAACAACATCAGAAAGTTGTATAGAAAGTTTATGGCTGATTGGGTGAAGGGTGGAGTCTAAGATTCTTTGGGAGGGTCTTAATATGTGTTATGTATAAAAGGGTAAGAGAAGGGTCAAATAAGTTTGGGAAACACGAGGTTAAGTATAAATAGCTTTCTTGACTGTAGTGCATGTCAGCAGCTTTGTGGTGCTGATCTTTGTCATTCTGTCTCAATGTTAGTACGTTTACCATACCTTTGATTACAGAACCCTTGCTTTGCAGAACACCATGTGATAGTTCATGAAGCACTCTGGGAGAAACTGCCCTCCCACAGTCTCCTCCGCTCTGCTGCTGTAGCTCTCAGTACCTAGGTGAATTGTCTCACCAATCAGTTCTTTGATGCTGTCTTGTTCTATTCCTTTACACGGTACACTTAGTTTGGTTACTTTCAGCTGGGTTAGACTGAAGTGAAAAAGATTCATTGGAACCTCACAAGGGGTTCCCCAAGAGCCATCAAAAAAAAAAATTCTGGGGCCGGCCGAGTGGCGCGATGGTTAAGAACCCGCTTGGGATGCCAGAGGGCCCCGGTTCGGATCCCACATATGAGGGCCAGTGACACTGCCCTCTGCAGCTAAGATGCTGAACAACAGCTCAACCTGGAGCTGGGCTGCCGTGGGTCGCCGGCGACGGCGTGGGCTGCAGCCCCTGTGGCAGTGGGTTGCCATGGGCTACCGTCTGTAGCCAGCAGCCAGCGTGAGCGGCCAGCAGCCGCAGTGAGCGGCCGTCCAGAAGCCGGCGACTGATCTGCCTCGCCCGGGAAGAGCGCAATGATGGTGCCAACTTGGGCCAGTGAAGCAACGTCCTCCACAACTAGACTGAAGAACAAAAACGACAGCAACTTGTCTGTTCCCCTTCCCCCAATTCCCCAGCACTGTTCCCATCCCCCAATTCCCCAATAAAAAAAATCTTTAAAAAAAAAAAAAAATTCTGAACCAGGATCACCTGTGAATCAATACGAAAGGACTTGAACCACAGATAAGCGGCAATAAAGCAGTATTAACTTTTGTTAATATCTATTGTACAAATGCTACTGAATACATTTTTATATCAGATACCTGAAAGTAACAGGCTCATTTGGAAATAGATCCTTGTATTAAACTGCTTAAACAGACACTTTTGATCTTAATGCTCTCTATGCTGAGTAGTTGGATAGCTCCATTTACCTAAAAACAGAAAAATGACATGCATTTAAAACAGAAAACTTGAATGTACATAAACACTTAGAGACCAGGGAGATTAGTTTCCAATGCTTGGAACTATAATCCGTGTGTCACTGAAAATCTGATTCTAAAATATTAAATTCAGTATGTACAAAAGGTATATTTCAAGGTACTCTAAATTAAAGAACTGACATTCTTAACAGCAGAAAACACTCAATAAAGGTATGGTGCTGGGCCGGCCAAGTGGCACGTTGGTTAAGAGCTGGCTTGGGACCAGCTCTGAGCAGTAGGGCCCTGGTTCAGATCCCACATTAGAGCCAGTGACACTGCGCCCTCTACAGTTAAGATGGTGAACAACAGCTCAACCGGGAGCTGGGCTGCCGAGTCGCTGGCGACAGCGTAGGTTGCAGCCCCTGTTGCAGTGGGCTGCCGTGAGCTACTGTGAGTGGCCTGCAGCCAGTGTGTGCTGCCAAGAGCTGCTGTGAGTGGCCGTCCAGAGGCTGGCGACCGATCTGCCTCACTTGGGAAGAGCCCAATGATCATACCAACATGGACCAGTGAAGCAATGTCCTCCACAACTAGACTGAAGAAAAGGACAGCAATTTCTCTGTTCCCTTTCCTCCAATTCCCTAGCACTGTTCCCCTCCCCCAATTCCCCAATAAAATATTAAAAAAAAAAGTATGGTGCTAACTTTTTGTGTACGTCTCTGTAGTGACATCAAAAAAATAAGACACACCCCTCCTTTTTGTGTTCAATATATTGCAATATTAAAAAGTAACAGTACAAATGCTGTCATTAATATTAAAAAGGATCTAAATATTTCAAGGGATAAATTTTTATAAACAAGTTCCACAATGCAATGAAAGGAAAACAGGTTTCTTGATACATAAAAGTTTTGTTAAACAAGACTTAAAAAAATTTTAAATCAGAAAGTGTTTAAGACTAAACTCTTTCAAATATTCAAACAAAAAAGCAGCTTGTACAATCCTCATAAAATGTTCCCTTGTATACATGCGCTGGGCACTCTGAAAATGGTAAATTTAAAAAGTTTGAGTGATAGAGGCAGCACTTAAAGGTTTTGGGAACCTTTTTCCAAATAAGTATACTTCCAGTAAAACATTTTACCATTTTATCTGACTGTACATTTAGACTTTTGTTCTTCCTGAAAAGGGGATTTTATGTTAACACTGTATTTTTAATATTAAAAAATACATTTAGAGAAATTTAACTTCCTGAGTGACTTCAGTCATACATCAAACATGAATCAATAAGGAAATTCTAAGATTTTAGAATGAAATAGAATGTGTAGATTTACACTTGTATGTCCAATTAGGGTAAAACTCAAACAGCATGTCACAGTACATTTGTTTTCTAAGAAGTTAAACAATATGATTTATCTCCAAACTTTACCAATAAACATTCTCAAATGTTAGTAAAATGAATCACTGAAATTACATTTCTCATTTATTAACAAAATACTAAGTCATTTCAGACTATCAATTTGAATGTTTTCTACTGTATACACCAAAATCTGATTCACTAACAAGCAGGTTCTTGCAAAAAGATAATGAAAATATTTGCTTTATAATGCAACCAATCCATAATACACCCTTCCCTCAATTGTCTAAAACAATTAGGAATTATGGCACTTCCTTTTGCATAAAACCCTTTTTTCTTCATAAAACCCTGAGGTGAAAGGTTATCAATGTAAAAACTAGAACCACAATTCTTCTCATTTTCTGTGTTAAACTATAGTTATAGGTTTTAAAATTTTTATAAAGAAATGTAGCAACTTGTAAAGCTGCCCTGTACACCAAGTTAGCCAAAGGGGCCTAGAATGACCCTATAAAAACAATGTCCTTTGAACACTTGTTAGTGTCGAGATGAGTGCCATTTTCCAGCTCTACTACTGTCTCTTCTGTTATCATAGTCATGGCTCCAGCCATCGTGATTCCTGTCTTCATAGAAGAAATCATCTCTATTTCCTCTGTAATGATGGTCAGACCCGTGATCAGTGTAACGCTGTTCACGGTTGTAATGTCTATCTGCTATGTATGGATGAGAATTCTGTCTGACTTGACGCTGTGATGAAGGTGTATCTTGGCGCCACTGGGAGCTCGAAGACTGGTTAAAAGTATGATTATGTGACTGAGCTGATGGGGAAAATCCTGACTGATCGTGATGTGGAGAACCATATTTCCCACTATATGACATCTGTCTCAAAACATTGTTCATCTGAGGGAAGAGAAAGAGAAAATGTTAACTGTAAATATTTCAAGATATCAAAGTCAATAGGTATTTGGTCACAGTTAACCAGATAATGATGGAAAAGCAAAATCACTCTTGCCTAGAGGAATCTTAAGTTAAACATAACTAAAAGAATACAATACAATAGCTTCATTCATTCCAATGCACATCTACAAGATACGTGTACATAACTACTACTCCTTGCCCTCAGGAACGCAACTTAGTAGGGAAGTCATACAAAATGAGTATAATGTCTATCACTGTGTGATGAACATATAAAGAGCCATGAGCTCAGTATCATTAGGAAAGGCTTCATGATGGTGGCATATGACCTGAGTATTAAAAGTATGGAGGGAATCTTCTAAGGAAAATATTTTAGGGGCGGGGGTAGGAAGGAAAATATGCCAAGGAAAGGAAATTGCACAAAAATTAACAGGGAAACACAGAGTGGGTTAATAGACTAGCAAATTCTGGCTGATATGGGTTATAGATCTCATAATGAATAGATGGTAAGGCTAAAATTTATTGGAATCAAATGATTGAAGTGCCTAATAAGTAGGCTAGAGAACTCTTGATTTTATCTTGCAAACAATGGAAACTCAAATTGCCAGGAAAATAAGCAAAATGGAGTTATAACATTAAATTTTTTTTTTTTAATTAGGGATTTGGGGGAGGGGAACAGTGTTGGGGAATTGGGGATGGAGACCAGCCAAGCTGTTGTTCAGTCTTAATCGTGGAGGGTGCCAGTCACCATCTGGCTGCCCGTTGGCAGCTCAAGGCCTCTCAGCTCAAGGTGCTGTGTTACAATCTTAGTTGCGGGTGGGCGTAGCCACCATCCCATGCGGGAGTCGAACCAGCAGCCTTGTTGTTAAGAGCGCACACTCTATTCACTGAGCCATTGGGGCAGCAGCTCAGCTCAAGGTGCCGAGTTGAGTCTTAGATGTGGGTGGGCGTAGCCCACTATCAAACAGATAGTCTTGTTAGGAGCACATGCTCTCACCAGCTGAACCCTCCTGCCACCTATTGGCAACTCAGCGGCAGCTCAGCTCGGGCGCAGCGTGACTGGCCCATGTGGGAATCGAACCAGCAGCCCTGTTGCTCAGAGCCTGCGCACTTAAGCTAACTTCTTTTTTTTTTAAAGATTTTTATTGGAGAATTGGGGGGATGGGAACAGTGCTGGGGAATTGGGGGGAGGGCAACAGACAAGCTGCTGTCATTTTGTTCTTCAGTCTAGTTGTGGAGGATGTTGCTTCATTGGCCCAAGTTGGCACCATCATTATGCTCTTCCCGGGCGAGGTAGATCACTCGCCGGCTTCTGGACGCTCACGCTGGCTGTTGGCTACACACGGTAGCCCATGGCAACCCACTGCCACAGGGGCTGCAGCCTACGCCGTCGCCGGCGACTCAAGCAGCCCAGCTCCAGGTTGAGCTGTTGTTCAGCTTCTTAGCTGTGGAGGGCAGTGTCACTGGCCCTCATATGTGGGATCCGAACCGGGGCCCTCTGGCGTCCCAAGCCAGTTCTTAACCATCGCGCCACTTGGCCGGTCCTAAGCTAACTCTTAACCAACTGAGCCACTTGGCTGGCCCCACAACGTTAATTTTGAAATGATGTGTGGGGTGGACTAGTGAGGAAAAAATGGAGACAAGTACTGACTGATTAGAATAGTGGTTCCCAAATTCTACCTGTGGAAAAATATTAGCCAATGGCAATTTTCTTTAATGGCCTATAGTAAAATGAAACAATAACAAAAGCTGACACCCTTTAATATTGCTCATAACTTTACTGTATTCTACTTTTTCATATTTATTTTGTAGACCTATGAAATTCAAAAGCCTAGGGGCAACAAGCCAAGATTTTGATTTGGGCAAAGAAAATAAAATGAATGTGAAAAAAAGAAAAACAATTAAAAACTTGGCAACTAGAAGGAAACAAAGATGAAACAGTAAAATATACTAAAATTTTAAGCCTAGTCTTACGGTGATATTACAGAAAAATGGAACATTCAAGAAGGAGCTAGTCTAGAAGACTCTAGTATATTAAAGTATTAAGTATTAAAGAGAATATATGATAAAAAGTCACTCAGCGTAAGTTCCAAGAATATCAGAGAACGAATTTCCAATATTTGAAACACAAACACACACACACACACACACACACACACACACACCTCCCAACAATGGTTGAAAAATACAAATGTTAAATGCAGTTCTTCTATCTATCTTCAATCTTTAAATATATATTTCAGGCCAATGAAAACTAAAATGAGTGATCAATCTACAAAGATCATGCAAGTCTATCCAAAATTTAAAAAGTTAATTTAAGAATTATCTGAATATTTTAACTAATTTTTTTTTTTTTAAAGCAACTCAAGTTGAAAAAAAATCAACCTACCACCACTTGTCTCTGAAAATTTTCTGGAGAAGAGAAAGTTCTCTGAATTACTTGTGTTGATGGAGTCATATTATCCACAGTCCTTTCATACCTGCAAAAAATAAGAAAACCAACATATACTCATTCATTCAACAAGTATTTACTAGATACCAGTAAGTAAGACATAGCTCTCAAAGGTAGGAAAGAACAAGACAGACAAAGTTATCTGCTTTCATGGAGGTGGGGTACGGTCATAAGAGATACACTGAATTACTAAAGAGTAAGAAAGAGATAAAGGATTCTATTTTAGCTTGGCTGGTCAGGGATGGCCTTTCTAAAAAGTCATTTGAAGCTGAGAGCTGAAGTTTTACTGGAACATGGCCACACTTTCTTGTTTTTGTATTATTTATGTAGTGCTACAATGGCAGAGAAAGAAACTGTATTGCAATGTATAAAATATTAACTATCTGGTCCTTTATAGAAAAAAAAAAAAACCACGTCAATGCCTGGGCTAGTGCAAAGGCCTAGGTTGAGAACTAAAATGAAAAGGATTTGATCAATTACATATGACAGATGAGGGAAAGAAGAAATAAAAAATAAAATCTAGATTTTTAGCTTGAGCAACTAGACAGACATATAGACACAGGAAAGAAGTTTTAAAGAGTAAGGAATTAGGGTTCTGCAACATAAATAGAATACTAATTTTAAGGACTTATACCTTATTCCTCAGTTCCAAAAGAGGTAACTTGCTCTACAGAAAATCTTAGAAAAATGTTATAATTTTATTTTAAAATATGCCCTTGGAATCAAATTACCAAAATTAATTTGTTTATAGTTTAGATCTTCTTCCTCTAGTTTTCTTAAATCAGTGACATATCTGTCCTCTACAGGGGTAAAAACTATAATTTTACTTATAACAAAAGTATAAAAATAACGTACGCTCTAGACTTTGATTAAAACTAACGTACTTACTTGCATATTTTTCCCCAAGAATTTCTAAGTGGAGGTTAAAAGCTTTGTTTTTCTAACTAAGATACCTTTGAAGGTTCTATAAAAGTGGATGGAGATGCTTTGAATTTCAACTCTACTAAGTTTGTAAACACCATTAATTTCAGCTGGTAAGAAAGGATGCTGAGAGGGTACCTTTTCTCACTATTGCTTTGTTACAATTTCACCTTCCAGTATCTTTCCATATCCATCCACATCTCTCTAGCTCTTGGCACCACCCTAATCCAAACCAGCAACCTCTCACCCCAATTAACTTCCCTGCTATCTTGCTACTAATACCAATACCTTACTACCAATAGCTTCTTAACTGGTCTATTTTCACCCTTGTCCTTCCAATCCATTCTCCCATTGCAACCAAACAGTTCTTTACAATACAAACCTGTTCCTATTACTACACTACAGAAAACATTTCAATGTCTTCTTACAGTTCTTAGGGTAAAATCCCAAAATCCAGATTATAGCCTATAAGAAAGACTGTATTATTCAGCCTCTATCTACCTCACCAATATCATCCACTACTCTCCATTTTTCATTCATTATGATCTGGGTACACGGTCCTCATTCATTTATATCATCTCTCCTTGTTAAAACTTTCTCCAAGCACTTTCTACTCCTTCTTTAGAGAACTTATTGTACTAATTAAACAGGTAGTCATCTAGACTTTAAGCTCCATTACGCAGCAAGCATGTCATAGGCTGGACTTGATCATACTGCCTGGGTTTGTACCCCAGTGCACTGCTTATGAATAGTTCAAACTTGACCAAGTTAACCTCCATTCCTCATATACGAGGAAGAGATAATAATCATCCCTACCTCATAAGACTGCTGAGAGGAATACATGAGATCATAAATGCAAAATCTTGGTAGAAAACCTGACATATGGTAGGTATTTGTTAACTTCCTTGAACGAAGCCTATTATGATTGATAAATAGCTCTGTGGATATACCAAGAAAAACATTTGGTAAAATGTCAGCCTCCCTAATTTTACTTACTTAAATAAGATTATTTAAGTAAATATTCATGTGGTCTCTTTTCTAACCCTCAAGGGCTGGAAGGGATTTTAGAGATCATTCAATTCAACATCTTTTCCCTTACAAATGGAAGGACAGAACCAGGCTCAAGATTACACAATTGGTAGAGGCAGACCTAGAGTCCAATTCTACCAAACGCTTAGCCTGTTTACTAATAGGTACTTTTAAACTGCAAGTTAACAACCAATTAGTGGTGATAAAACTAATTTGAATTTTGAAAAGATAAAATAAAATGGAAACTTGAGTTTCCTGGAAGTAATCAGGGTAAGCAATGTTTTGAGAAATTTTGTTTCAGTTACATACATGTATATGTGGGTGTGGGTATACATCTTTACAAATGAACATAAGTATAATTACACATGTATCTATTTTAAGGGGACTATATATAATGTGTCAGTCTATAGTCCCCTTAGAGACATATATAACTATAATCCAACATAACATCACTTCTAGGCCTTTTGGCTAAGGCCAAGTGTAATCCAACATAGCAAATAATATAGAAAAATAAAGAGGTAGGAACATAAAGAAGAAAACCAATCACTCATTATGCATTCTGAAATCACTACCTAAAAACAATCCTAACAAATGACTTTAACAAAAGGTGAGAAATATTACCTGCTAGGAGATGTGGAGGTGGGGCTCGAACTTCCAACATGATGCTGGGGATATGACAAACTAACATCCTGTGAGGCATGGCTACTTCCTAAAATGAAATCATTTGAGAAATTCTTCTTGATAGAAAATTTAATTTGAAATTGTCTCCCCCACCCCAAATCATTCCAAAAAAGTACACATAGGCTAAAAGAGAAAACTTCAAATTTTAATAGACTCCTTTACAGTTTCATCAGAGTGAAAATTCTAAGTGTTTAATAGGAGATATAGCAAAAATGGTCCTGAATAAGGTAATAGCCAATGTATAAATATCCACTCTAGCCATAATATTCTGATCCTCACACTAAATTGTAAGACTGGATACATGGAAATTTCATCCTCACATGATCAAGAATCAAAATTTATAAAAGTAAATTACAGAGCACCCAGGAAAAGTATTTTCAGAAAATAATCCTTGCTCCTTTCAGAGCATGGACCCAAATCCAAGTCTTTCTAACAACATAAACTTAGTTTTAAAATGACAACTTTCAAAATCCATATTGTCAATGTTATTCATCTTTAGAGATACTACTTGCTATTCACAAAGCTCAAAGTATTTTCACCTAAAACATATTCTTTAAAACTGAATAAAAACAAACAAAATAAAACAGCAAATAATCCCTCTCCCCAAACAAAATATCACTGAATAGTTACCTGATCTAAATTGAATTTTGATGGGCCTTCCAAAAAGCTTGATTCCATTAAGTAGATTCATTGCATAAGGAACAGACACTTCATGTTTGAAATTCACAAATGCAAACTGCTTTGGTTTACCATCCTTATCTTTTGGAATTTTCACTTTTATTACTGGCCCAGCCTATAGAAAAAAAGTTTACAATTTAAATAAGGCAATTTCAGGAAAATACTCAAATTTTACAAAGTTTAAAAATAACAGAAATGTAATCAGGAATTCTAAAAAATAAATTCAGATAGCCACCTCGATTAGAACAAAGGTACTACAGATATAACTGAAGATTAATTTATTTGGGGAGGGGAACCCATAAGAACTAGAAACGCAATCACAGAATTTACATATCTCAGCCCTTTATGACTTCAACAAGGTCACCAACATCCATCACTTTCCCACTCCATGGAAATTCAAGTGTATAAAGAACAAGAAAAAGTGGTTTTCTTGAACCAAAAATTCACTTTTGTATCGATTAATCAAACATCACCAGTTGTTGGAGGATGGAACTGGAGGATACAGGCTACTTAGAATTTTTCACACATTTAATACAGAAACACAATGCTACTGACAAAGAAACTGAAATGTAATTTGTCAATCAGATAAATCAAAGTGTCCTAAGGGGAAGATGAGAAAAGGAAGAACAAACACCGCTCTATATAAATGTCTAATCACTACTATGTTGTACACCTGAAACTAATACGATATTATGTTAACTGTAATTTCAAAATGTTTAAGTTAACTTAAAAAGAAACCCAAAACACTGCTTAAGGAAGAACCCACATGTATCATGTCCCTTTAGGACCCCTGAATCTTTTTACCTCGGGAACGCTTCATTGAGTATCCCTCCACCACCTTTAGTGCTCACTTTGGCATGAACTAACTAGGTGTGTTTTTTTTTAAGGCGACACCCAGCGAACGCCTTTGTAAGTGCGACCTGCAGCCCCAACCGGCCCACGGGTCGGGTGCCCGGACTCACAGCTAAGCTTGCGCGAAAAACGCCGGGATGGCCGTTGGGCCGAGTCCCACGCGAGCGGAAAACGAAAAGAAAAGGCTGATCCCAGCCGCTTACCTGGTGGAAAAGCTCGAAAAGGAGCTCCTCTGTCACTTTAGTTTCAAGGTTGCCCACAAAGAGAGTGCGATCCGCTTCCGCCGCCGCCGCCCCCATCTCAACGCCCCCTCCCTAAAACGGCCTAAGGGTCGTCGCCAACCCACCCACTGCGCACTCTCGGAAACCTACGTCCTCGCGCTCCCAGGCGTCACAGACGTAAACGTCAATCACGCTCGCTCTCGGCCGGCGTCGACGTGCGCTGACGCACTGAGCATGCGCGCGAGGGGACCGCTCACAGGGCGCTTTTTGGTCGGCCGCCGTTCTGGGTATGCCTCGAGGTGTGTTCGGTCTCCGTGTCCGAGACGGGCTGGATTGATCCGTGGAACGGGCGGAGGGTCTCCTTTGACCGAGGGACGTAACCCAGAGACAGCGGGTAGTGTTTGAAGATGGCCCTCAACTACGTGTCCATGTCTGCCGGCGATCAAGGAAGCAGGGTGGCCTGCCGCTCTTACCACGGCGACCTCAGCTGGTCGGCCTCCGCGTTAGCAGTGTTCTCCGGAGACAGCTTGCTCGCTACCGGCCCCGAAGCGATTCACCCAGAACTTACTCCTAGGCAGGCGGTGCGGCCCAGCGTTCGGACCGAGAGCCGTCGGGCGAAGGGCGGCAGCTGGTGTCCTACGCGCTTTATAAAGGGAAGGCACCCTGATGGGCGGGTCCGAAGCTGTCAGGCGAGATTCTCACCTTACCCGACCCCTGGGCTTAAACTCGAGCTCCTAAGGAGCGGCTGCTGCAGCATGTGATTGCGCCTGGAGGTGTGATCGCAGCCCTTCTTGCGTCTTCAAATGAGCGTCTCCCTCCGCCCCTTAATTAGCTCGTTAACAAGGCCTCTCTCAAGTCCTTTCTTGATGCTGCCTCAGTCTCATTTTTAGAGGGGTGTGTTTTTATTTTAATATAAAAAGCTACGTAGGAGTCCTGTGAACATAGCCTAGCACAAAGGACAATTTTACTGTTGCTGAACTCAGAGGGTTTTTAGCGGCCAGGATGATTGATTAGTTCAGGAAGGAGGGCGAAGAGATTTTTTCCCTTAGGTAGTCCCAGAGCGGAGCGGCTGGCACCGCCCTTCCCAGAGGTCAGCAGTCCTTTTATTCAGCCTCTGTGCACTGCATTCGAACACTGGGTCCAAAATCCTCTGCCTTCCACGAGTCGTGCCTCCCTTCCTGGCAGACGCTCCGACTTGGAGATTCCCTAACTGCCCACCTTTCTGCCTCAGACTGCTCCCTTTCCCTGTACTTGCGTGGGTGACAAGGAAGTGCTTCCATTTATCACCCTGGTTAATCTTCCCTCCTAGGGCCCAGTAATCCTGTTACCTTGTTTTAACGTCTCCCACCTTCACTTTTTCTTCGGGAATATCTACAAACTTCAACCTTAACCATACCAAAAACCTAAACCTTGCTGCTCTTTCATATTATCAAACCAGTTTACATTTCTTTCTTTGCCAAAGGCTCCAGATGAATTTTTATACTTGGTTATTTTATGATTTGCATTCAATTCCTGCTCCCTTAATCAGAATCTGTTGTCCCCAAATTAACAAAAATTGGAAACATTAGATTTTCTCTGTGGTAAGCATTGTGGATGAACTTTACGCAGTCCTGCCGTCAAGGAGCCCAAGGGGTAGACTCTAGATCGGTGGTTCTCAACCTTCCTGATGCCGCGACCCCTAATACAGTTCCTCATGTTGTGGTGACCCCCAACCATAAAAGTATTTTCGTTGCTACTCTATAACTGTAATTTTGGTACTGTTATGAATCGTAATGTAAATATCTGATATGCAGGATGTATTTTCATTGTTACAAATTGAACATAAAGCACAGTGATTAATCACAAAAACAATATGTAATTATATGTTGTGAAATATTTATTTCTAGTTACAAATAAATGAAATTTTGTCTTGAAGTATGGAGAGGGATAGAGGAGCGGTGTCTGGGTTCCTAAGACCATCGAAAATATGTGTTTTCCGATGGTCTTAGGCGACCCCTGTGAAAGGGTCTTTCAACCCTCAAAGGGGTCGCGACCCACAGGTTGAGAACCGCTGCTCTAGATGAAGAGACCAATAATAGGTAATTAACTGGACTGTTCATTAGGTGACGTGATAAGCACTGCTTGCAATGGTTTTCCATAATACTGCACTACTCTGGTTCTCTTGCCTGGCTGATCACTCTTTACTGGCTACTATATTTTTGTTCTCCTAACCATACATTCCCCCAAGGTTTACAGGGTGGCATCAGGGAAAAGTTAGTGATTTTGTGAGTACCACCTCTTTATGTAAGCAAGTAGGCTAGCTTTTCCCCAGTGGACGCTTGTCTGTAATTATGTTCAGACAGCAAAATGACCACACACTACACAGAACTGAATTATTAGAGCTACATCTTAAGAACAATGTTGATAAACCAGTGAGCTTCCATAAGAGTGATTACTATAGTAAGAGATCTAGAAGCCAGGTCATAGGAAAAATGTTTGAAAGAATAATAATAGCTACCTTTTATTGAGTACTATGTGCAAATATTCAATGTTTATTCAGGTATTTGTTGAGAATTTACTCTGCCTGCTACTACCTATGTTAGGCACTTAGAATATTGTGAACAAGCTAGATAAGGTCTCTGCTTTTATGGAGCTTTATATATGTTATTTAATTCTCACAACAGCCCATAAGAGAGGTATTATACTTTTTTTTTTCCCAAGAAACATAGGCACAAAAACGATGAAGTAAACTTTTCAAGGTCATATAGCTAATAAATGATAGAACCTTGCAGGCTGAAAGGTTGAACCATGCAACCCAAATAATGATTTGAGTGACTATTTTCTCAGTTCTGCCAAGGATAGTATATAACTAACACTAGAGATCTAAAAAGATGTTAATTCATAATATGTGATGGGTTCTTTAGGCTGGACATTATGACAATCTGTGCTGGAGAAGGGAATCCCAAACCTATATTCTAAGAGTTTTAAACTGGGAAAGAATAATAAAACTAAGACTGAAGGTAAGGATTTTCATAAAACTTAGAGATGCCTAGTAGTGGAAAATACCACCTCACAAGGTAATGAATTAACTGCGCAAAGTTCAGAAGAGGCTAAAAATCCTGTAAAGTGTGAAATCGGATTTGCTGACTTCAGTTCTTTCCCATTTAACCTATAATTCTATCCTTTAAAAAAATAAATGGTTAAAATTGAAAATGAAGACTTGGAGGATGAGAAGGAAAAAATGAGGTATAATACATAGGATGCCCCTATGTACTGTGCAGCCCAGGACACTGGAGAGTGGAAGAGGGTGTCATCAGTTAAGGTGGAGCAGCAGACATAAATAGGGCTGTCTCATGCAGATTGGTCAGATTATACAACCCTAGGAGAGGATGCAATATTAAATGTGACTTTGAAGCATATTCCTTAGCTTCAGGGAAAGGAGGCTGAGATTTGTCAGCGAAGAAACAAAAGTCTAGCATAAAAGTGCACAAGAGGTAGGGAGGACCCAGTGGGAGTGACTTCATTTCTCTTTGTTCCGGCATGGCGTCATCAGGAGTAGGGCTTTGACTGAATAATAGTGCATATGTGCCAGAAAAAAAGAAAATGGTGTGAAAAAGAAACTTACTGTGTTTGATTTGACAAGGGGAGAAACTTGTTGCCATAAATGCTCCATCATTTTATGTAATGAATGTCTAAATTCTCCTTGTTTTTAACACCTGCACTAGTGTCCAATTTACAGTGTGTTCCTAGAGTGACAAGGACTGGGTTGTGGAAGCAAGAACCAATATAAATCTCTTTCAATGAAATTGCATGAAGCAGGGATAACTAAGTTTTCCCAAGAGCAGTCCATGTTATTAAAAACCTGTATGTTAATGTATAAAATGAATTTTTATTTAATGTTAGCGGTTAAGTATAGCATGATGTCATCTTAAAATAGATGGATTTTCTAAGAATAATACAAAAAAAATTCCAAAGAATTAATACTTCAATGTGTTTTTTAAAAAAACATTGTAACTTTGTTTTTATTATCCCTTTTTATTATATCATACTAAGCAACCGACCAGCATGTGTTCAAGTGGAGTCCTATTAGAATATTTATTTCCTCTACTCATCAGCACTAAAACTCTTAAAAAGAATGCCCATTTGGCATATAGAAAAAAAGGAGGCCAATGAGATTGTTTCCCTCAGTAGCCAGATTTGGTTATAAGGCTAACTATAAGAGGGATAGCTTGGAAGGAGGAAAGGAAAGGTGGGAGAAAAGACCTACTGGACGGAACAGTAAGGACACTTCTAATGGACAAAGGCTGAACGCCTGGCAAGTAAAATTAATTGTGTCTTTCATTCCTTTGGTGAATGTATCCAGATCCCACGCTGGTGCAGCTTTTTTCTTCCCAATTTCCATGAAAAGTACTCTCATTTTCCTAGCCAACCAAATGTATAAGTTTGAATACCTATGACTCCATACCACCTATTACCTGTGCCCATTACCTATGTCCATTCAATTGCACAGTCTTGCCCATTTATCTCAGTGTATTTATATTGTTTCTGTGATCACTTTTATCACCTGGACTATATTTACCTGGACATTTTAGCTTGTTGTGTTTGCCACTGTCTGTCTACGGTCCTAGATATATATATATATATATATATATATATATATATATATATAGCCTCCAGACTAATGAGCTTAAAGCATGTTTCTGATCACATGATTTCCACTCCAGTGTTTCCATTGTATATTCCACAGAACCTCCCCTGGAAATACAATATACCCTCTGAAAAAAAGGCAAGAGGTCAATAAAATTGAAAGTGATGCATAGGGAGTCATAATTTGTAATAACATGTTAAAATTTCTGATAGTTCCTTTAAAAAAGAAACTATTTGGATTTTAGCTAGTGTTTCACAAATTTATTTGTCCATACCTTTAAATTTTTGCATGCTACCTATCTTCCTGAGAAATCTCAGTTCTGCGGAAACAATTAGAAGTGCTACCTACTTAAAAAGCTCCATTTGCTCCCCACTTCAGTTATTAGAAGTGGATTTTTATATAGCCTGGTAGAATTCAGTTTTCAGCATGTTATTAATAAGGCAAATCGGTTGGTTTCCTCACTTATGGTTTAAAAAGGTTGAACCCCACTTTATTGGACATGATGACTGGTACTCATCAATGTCTTTTGTGAGTGGGTGGGAGAGGGAGGCAAACATGCAGCTGCAGACCCCCCAGCCACTGAGGATCAAGGCTGGCATAGTTGCTAATGAAAGGCATTAGGAACAATCCTGATGAATACAGGCAGGTGCAATTATTTCTTAAGCATGGTAATAATGCAATGTTTAAAAAAAAGTAATGGTTTGCCTCACTGTTATTTTACTGGAATATCTGAAGGCAGCCCTGCTTCAAACACACTTCTTCTAAATCAGAGAAGAATAATTGCCTTCAGCTTCGCAAAGAACTGAGAGTAAACGAAGCAGTGCAATTGTAAAAAATTGAGCACTCCATAAACAGACTTTCCATAACCTGACCAAACTATATTGCCAGCCCTCTTTCTTATTCACTATTCCCCTGGTTGGTTACTGCTCTTTTCTGCCTCTGTGTGTATGCCTTTCCTAGGCCCTTTAACTAAACTCCTTGTCCTTCTCATTTTCTGCCCCCCCAGATTGGTCAGTTCTTTACATTACAATGGACACACCCATTTTCACCAGGTTAAGCAAAAAATGGACTCTGTTGACTCACAGAGCTGGAAAAGTGTGATGAATATCTGACAGTCTGTCTACCTAGCAACTATCTCATCTATAACAACACCTCAATTTTCCCTTCCTTGGAGCCTCCTCCCTCATAATATGTTCATGTATTGGGGTGAGACTTCACACCTAACTCCAGGGA